GTTATGTTACACTTCATTAAAAATGATTTATTATTTGAACAGTTATTAAAATTTGACTTTTAACTCAAGGGTGTGTCTTAAAATGACTAGAGACATAATTTCAAGTGACCCACCATTTATCTGGCATATACGGCTTACATTTACAAGATAGGATAATGCTGCTATTTTCAAATCATCATTCAATAAAGGTGTAATAAAGATTGGGTAAACAATACTCTGTAAACCTGAACTACATTGTACATTATTAACTATCTAGGTTTGTAAACTTCTATGTAACACCCATTGTTAATTTGAACTGAACTTAAAATTAATTTATAACATGACATTGATAGTTTTCAAGACTGTGTTCTAGTTGAGGCATTGTTATCTAAAGATTGTGTCCTAGTTGAGGCATTCATTGTCAAGAAGAAATTAAAAAATGATAAAAAATTTCAAAATATTTTTAAAAAAAGATGGTTCTAAAGTAAATTATTGTGGCGCCCCTGGATTCCTGGAATGCAGTACACAGCATATTCCATACTTCACATGTTATTGTTTAGATTATGATATACTGCATCTAGTATAAATACTGTTTTTGATAAATATATATTCAGTCAGTTTATTTGATCTTATTCATTTGGTCTTATTCATTTGGTCTTATTCCTTTCGTCGCTACATTATCATTTTATATTAATAAGGATGCAAAGAAAAAAGATTTAGTTAGGGCAGAGAATCTCAGAGACACCTATTAAAGAAAAACAGACTTGAAAATTATGTGATGAAGTTGTGAGAATTTCTCAGGAATTTCTGGAGAAATATTCCTGAGAAATTCCTAGGAATTTCTTGAGAAAAATCCCAGAGAAATTCTCAGGAATTTCTAGAAACTTATTCTCTTATTTAAGGAATAAGGAATTTCCCGACAAGTATTCCAGAAATTCTAAGGAATTTCACGAAACTTATTATCTTATATAATTCCCATAAAAAACAGTAAACTTGATGACCAAGTCCCTAAGAATTTCTCAGGAATTTCTGGAGAAGGATTCCCGAGAATTTCTCAGGAATTTCTTGGGGTGACATTCCAGAGAAATTCCCATGAATTTCTCAAAAATAATTCTCTTATTTAATTCCCCTAAAAGTCATTAACTTGGTGACCAAGTACTAAGATATTCTCAGGACTTTTCGGAGAAGTAATCAGGAGAAATTCTCAGGATTTTCATGAAACTAATTCTCTTAATAAATTCCCCTAAAAATCCATAACATGGTGAGGAATTTCGTGGGGAAAAATTCCGAAGAATTTCTCAGGAAATTCTCAAAACTGAGTCTCAAAGCTGTGATCCCACAAAAATCTCTCATCTTGGAGACCAATTCTGGGGAATTTCTCGAGAATTTCCTAGAAATTCCTCAAAGGAAGTCACCACGGCTGGAGAATCTGGGGAAATTCCTGACTTTTGTTATTTGGGAAGCCATGCACAACGATACCCGTTTTTTACTTGACCAGATGTGAGGACTGGACTGCCATGGAAGATACCTTTCAAGAGAGCTTTCAGGGATCACAACTCCCCATTTTGCATATGGGGTGCAGTTATGGGTTAATTCCTTAATTCCCCTAACTGGGAAACAGCATAAAATGAAGGAACACAGGGAGAAATCCTCTATACCCTTCTTCCTACAAACCTCCTTATCTCTCTCATACCTACTCCACAACTCAAGGTTTAAAGAACTATTTGGATAGGCCTTAAAGTGTAAAAACAAGAAACAAGAAGCAAGAAGAAAAAATAGATTGAACAGAAAAAAGTGGAAGGGAAATCTCTTGACAGTAGAGATGGGTGCTTAAAGCAAGATAAACAAGAAAGAAGAAGAAAACTTTGAACAGGAAAAATTAGAAGGGGATTTGAGCTTTACACTATCTATTTTTTTCACTGATAGTGAATAAAGACAAATACACAGGATAGAAGACATCCCATTCCCCCCTCTATGTCCTACTTAAGATACAAAACAGGAATATGTGTAAAACGCCCCCTCACCCCTCTCCCTACCATCAAGAAAATTTTAATTGAAAGTGTGTTATAGCTAGGAAAGCAGTGGCTGACACAGTAACATGACTGAAAAAAAAATTTAAAAAACAAACAACCTTGCCACTCTCAGAATATAGAATATAGATACAGGGCTCCAAAAAATAGTTCTGCTTCTGCAATTTGGCTGGCTGCAGAAAACATCCAAAAAATTAATTTATTTTTATTTTCAAAATTAACCAAAGTATGATTGAAGGATGGACAAGGAATGGATGATCAAGAAGAAAGAATGAAAAACAAGAAATATAGAAGTCTCAAAATGTTTCCTTCTGATATCATATTGAAATTTAAAAATATTGTAAAATTTAATTAAAATAAATTATTAAAGTTAAAACAACTTTTCATTATACCATTAAGGAAAACGTTTCAAAACGTTTTCATAAACAGAAATGCATTTTTCTGTTATACAACACTAACTTTGAACTTTGAAATAGAAAAAAAAGTTTTTTTTACATTTTGGTCAAACATGTTGTTGTAGGTATTAAAAAAAACTTTATGTTACCACAAAACGCTAAGGTTGGGAATATGTTCCTCTAACATTAAAGTTTAACATAAACATTAGGTAAAAGCTCCTATAATGTTAACCTTCAACATTCACACTTTATAGAATATATCCAAATGTTTCATATTCTTTTAACATAATGTACAAAAACGTACTTTTTATGTTACATTAAACTACCATTGAAAGACTAGACTAGTATCACTGTACCACATCAGATTATGCAGCAATTTGTACCAGTGTAAACAGAGGTCTGTTCCAACTTAACCTGAACCTGATTGCTCCTTGGACCTTTCTGGCTTTTTTTCAGTAAGCAAAGTCCTACCTTTGAATTCTCAGTAGATTGATTGATCCAGGCAAACCTTAAAAAATAAAATATTAACACAAATATCTAAATACAGAGAGGGTATACCACCATAACCATTCAATCAAAACTAGTTGTTTGATCTTTCTGCGCTTTTTTTTCTTTTTTACTAAATATCTATTTGTAAAAACATGGATAAATGACTAGGACTGCATATCTTTTCAAAAACTATTGTTATTGGAGTAAATATGATGTCATTCACAAGTTTACATCTATCATTGTGTTTCAAAATAGTCTTCCTTAATCTTAATCTTTTTTCCCTAATAATGATAAGTTGCAGTTATACATTTGCTGTATACAATCAATAAAAAAAATCAATATGTTTATTTCTTGATGTTTACTTACTTCTTGTATTGAAGTGCAAGTTTTACTAATTTTAGATCTTCAGGTTGGGCAATTCTATCCAGAAAATGATTTCCAGATTTACATTCTCCATCTTCATAATTACTCATTTCTTAAAATGTTGAAAAATTCTATACAGTTAAATAATGTATTCAAATTGTAAATTTATCAAACTTAAAATGATTTAATGTACAGGGTTACCCGCATGGGAAGAAACTTCAGAGATAACTGAACAATATTCATTAAAACTTATTGCTTAAATAGCTCAAAAGTTCATTTTGAATTCAAATTCATAAGCAGTTCATTGCTTGTTTTCAAACAGGGTTGTGTTTCAGTAATGTTAATGCTGACAAATTCATAAGCAGGATATTAAATGTTTTCAATCAAATTGTTTTTATTTATCAGCGATCTTATTGCTAACAATGAATTCACAAGCCTACTAGTGAGTTACTGATGCCAGTGTTTGGTTGAATTTGGCATATTCTTCCTAACCTTTGAAATATTATTGCCAAGCTATTGATTATATTTTTTATTTTAAGCTCAAAGTTGAAGCTTATTATTTTGATATTTGTTTAAATACCAGTTCCAGTAAATCCACCGCAATTGTTAATTTTGGTAAATAAATTATTTTGTTGGCTGATTTGTGTCATTGAATAAAAATTACAAACTACACCATTTACACAACAGTTAACCCTCTCTGGAGCTAATCCCTGACAATAATATTTTTACATCTGATTTAAGCATTTTACTACTTTAAATGACAAAAAATTTTCAGGTCTCATGCTTTGTGTCCTGTACACTTAATTGAAATCATACTGCAAGTGTGTACCATCTAAAGTCTCTTCTATAAAATTGTACCTTGAGTTAGCAAATAACAAGTTCTTCCATTTGGCTCTGCTAGATTAACTGTGTAGTTTTCAGGACATGATGGCTCTTTTGAAATGATAAAAGGCTATTATAGAGATTCAAAATAGCTTCCCCTTCCCCCCCCCATCTTTCTATTAGGAGTCATTTCACCCTTTTAAATATAAATGAAAAGAAAGAAAAAGGAGACCTTTTTAACAATACAAATTTTTATTAGTTATTTTGAGTTTTGAAAATAAATTTTCACCTTTCCAAAGGCAGTATGATTCAAATTGATGTTCACATTCAGTTTGCTTTGCTTTAAACCCATCTTCATTGTCCAGAAAGACACATGGAAGATCTTCCCTGACTAAATTTGAACCGTTGAAATCATAAGATGATGAATTGTATTCAGAGAAATCTGTAAATCTAGTTAAACCATTAGTCCTGTACATCCCAATATACAGATTAGATGAATTTTGAAAAGCAGCATGGTGCTTTATGAATTCGAACAATCCTTTTGTCTGTATTGGCAATACTATTCCTCCATAATGACCACATTGTTCTTTACTTTCCAAAAACGAGGTTTTATTTGAGTTCTTGTAAATGCACATTTCCTTGTAACTGAAATAATTTGGAGGACATTTTGGGATAGTTTCTTGTCTAACAGAACAAAAAAATGGCTTCTTCTGCTTACAGTCTTCATTTCCCCTAAATAGATAGAATATTATATTTGAAATACACACCTTAAATTTAATAATTAGTACATGATTATGGTAGTGTTTGAAAAGGCACAATACTGTACACCACTAACAGGGAAACCATCTGACCAAGTCAAATTCTCTTCTTCATTTCCTTCACTTTTAATCCATCTTTCTCCTGGTGGATGAACTAAAACATGGAAGAATTTAATAAATTGGTTGATTTCTTATTATTAAAATGATGTTTTACCTGACATTGAATCCAAACCCAACCAAATGTCTTCTAATCCTTGTTCAACAAGAATTTGCAAAAGATATTCATGGCTGAAATAATCATCTGGAAAGGCCAAATAGCTTTCAAAATCAAAGGAGGTCAAGCATGTTAGTTCAGCACTGACATATGTCATTTGCTCTGTATGCAATTTGTAACATTGAGAATGAAGTAGGAAGAAACCTTCAGGACATTCATAGACCTTGGTATAAGAATCATCAATTTTACAATTCTTCATCACATGATACATCTGGGCCACTGACAAGTACTGTGAGAACACTTTAAGGCAAGACATTTGACCATAGAAGTTTTCTTCTCTGTCCTCTTCTTGAAACTTTGCTGATCCTAGTCTAGGCTTTTCAAGAGAAGTAGAGTCTATGAATAACCAATCCTCTGTATCATATTGGAAATATGAAGATTTGAATTCTTCAAAACCAAATGTTTCATTAACATAGAAAGTTCCCATTTTATTCAGACTATCAAAAGAGACTGAAGCAAAAGTCCATGACTTTTCTGGCAACAAATAGGCAGATGTAAAAGTTGTGCACTCTTTGTTATTGCAAAGGTCAATGTTTAGTTTTTTATTATCAATGTAAAATACAAGACCCTGTGTATCCTTTTCTTCTTGGAAATCTAAGATAACAGCTTTTCTACTTGTTTGAATTGATCGCAGCCATAAAGCAATAGTAATTCCCTCTTTAAATGAAAATGTCTTGGTTACATCAATGTATGAGAGCATATGTCCAAGAAAATCTGAAGGTTGTGGCATTTTGGTTTGAATAACTTTCTCATTTGGATTTGAAATCCAACTTTGGTAGGTAATGTCATTAGGTGTGTCGTCCATAGGTAACACCAATAATGGATCATGAATAAGCTCAACTGCTTCTGCTGTTGGAATTTGTGGTGTTTGACACACAACAGCAATTTTCTCTGAACAGTTCATCCAAATCCAATTCAAGTCTGTTATGTTCATTCCAAGACAGTCACCATCCCCTAGATAATTGATTAAGCTAAATCAGTTTTAATTTAATTTACAGTATTTTTTTATTTTATAATTATTATTATTATTAAAGATTTATTCACACACATATATTACATATTACATATATTAATGGTATAGTTTAAATTTGTTTTGTTATGAATGATATTAGATGTATTTATTATTCACTCTCATAATCTCCAATTTCATAAACTTGCTATTTCAAAGAAATCTATAGTCAGACTTTTGATAATATTTTTCTTTCCGGAATAAATTCCTTGCATTTAAAAAGTTGATTCAGGAAAAGTATCAAATTTTGATAACAATAAAAGTGTAAGCAATATTTTAACAAGTCAGCTTGTAATTAAAACACATTCTAACTGCATACAGACTTTGTATGATTTAATCTTAAAATTTCAATTGTGCTTAACCGTCTATGTACAAGCGGTCAATATCAACTGCTCACTTTAGTAACCCTTTAACCTCTTATTGGTTTACAAATTAACTAGTTTTTTAAAATTTTTACATAACTTAAGAACCCAGAAACCAATTTCAAGCATATTTTTGCTTGTTTTTGTTTTTATTTAGTGTCACGCAAATGTACTACGGCTGCCTGTGGTGTAGATTTTGTTAGGTATTGAGAAGATTTGCAAAATTAGACAACATTGTGAGACTCCCTTCACTTTTTTACAAAGTTAACATTTTTGTGATTTTCGTTCAAAAAAAATAATTTAAAAATTTTAATATTTCTGTTCTTTAGGGAACATTTCTAAAAAATATTGAATATTTGAAAAAAATATTTTGAAAAATATGAAGTTCTTAAAAATACCCACTTACAACTGACCTGATGCTTGAAGATCCTGAGCAAAGTCAGATTTTTTAAAAGTTGAAGTCTCAAAATATTTGGCACCCCTTTTTTCATCTTTGAGCATATTTCTTCTATACCCAGTCCATATTGTGACCTTCATATCTAGCTCTGATAAATATGACTGAAGGAAAAGAATTTGTGAAAAAAGCTTTGGTTCAACAAGAGTACCATGCATAGAATTGCAGTGAAGAAAAGCATTTGTAAATGAAGTTGACATGTTTACATAGTGGTAGCAGTTTTCTTGGTACATCACATGATCATTGAGGCACATCCAATCCTTTTCAGCTTCACAAATATAACCTCTTTTTATGGTATCATGCTGATGTAAAGCATGTAGATTTATCTGTGGATTACTAATTTTGCTTAGATTTAAGTATGCAGTAAAATCACTATCATTTGCTTTTAGAAAAGTTGAAACTCTATTTCCTTCTGCAGTTTTTATACAAGAATCATCATTTATCCAAGAATATCCTTTTGAATTGATTCCATATACCTGGTTTGACCTTCGATGTGTGTTTGTCAGTTTGTTAACACTGTAAAATCCAAGCCAAAATGTAGTTTGGCCATTTATTATGATATCCTCGGAGAGTTTCAACAAATCATCACATGAGTCAATGCTTAAAAGATTTGACTTTCTCTTTGCACAATCAAGTGTAGCTGCTGATTTGGTCTTTGAATTAGGGGTGTCTACAATCATCAAACACTTTTGAATCTTCTTTTGCCATTTAAATCCTACAGGACATGAAGATTGACAGATGTAAGGCATCTTTTCAGAAATTTGAATACCCTCCAATGTGTTTGCATCTAATTTAAATACCAAGCCAGAGGATTTAGTGCATTCTTCAATGCCACAAGTAATCTTTGGTAAAGAATTGTTTACTTTTTTACCATTTGACATCCAGTACCAATTATCTTCCTTGAACATACCACCAATCCAAAACTTTGTTAAAGAGGTAATGTTTAAGGATTGAGAGAGATATAGTTCTGAAGAGTTTAACTTTAAAATGAAAATTTCTAAAGATTTTAACAAGGAGTCTGTAAGTATGGATAGAAGGTTTCCTCCTTCTTCTCTGCATTTGATCTGGGCTTTGTCAAAATCCTCAGGAATTGGAGAAACTCTTAAACACACTTGGTCAACTAAATCATAATTCATATTACAGTCTGAGTTCACTGGCTTTAGAAAATCTGGGCAAGATCCAACTTCGTAAGTAGCATCATTTAAGACTCTAGATCCATCATGAATGTTAGTTGGGCACCAAAGTTCTCCTTTTGGATTATATATACAAGTTGTTTGCCAAACATTGTCCAAAATGAATGGCAATATGCATTCCTTCCCTGCTCCTACTCCATCTATAGCTATTAATCTCTCATCTCTGCAAATTCCCCATTTTTCTGATATAACAACGCCTTTTTCATCCACTTCTGTAGCACACCATGGACCTTTATGCAAATCATCAAAAACACATGTGTTGTGTAAAGGCCCAGCTGTTTTTGTTTGAAAAGGGAAAAGGCAAGTAGTATTGGATTCAGGACCATCAACTGTCAAAAATTCTTTAGCTTCACAAATGTAACCCAATAGTTTTTTTGAGTGTAAACCATAGCCAAAGCAATCTTCAACTGTCATGTTTCCATCTTTGTTAAGCATAATACAGGCTTCATTATTATATGGCATTGGCCATGCTACTTTTTCATCAATCTCTAACAATTGTTCTATAAGGTATGCTTTAGTACCATCCAAGTATTTGATGGAAATAGTTGGTCCAATTGATTCAACTTTAGCTCCAATAGCAATAAAGGATTCAGTACTTTGATATTGGAGAAAATGAAATGATGAATTCTTCAAAAAGATGCTTTCCCTATCAATTAATTCAGCAAAAGATTTGAAGTCTCTTGGCTGATACAGTCTAGCTCCCATCTCTAAACATTTTCTTTGAGCCTCCTCAGTTGAACCTACTATACCATTGTTTGTTCGAGCAGATAGATGAAAACAGTTTTTATCAATTCTGAAAAATCCTGTTGGACATGATTGAACTGCACAACTTTCTTCACATGTTCCAACAGTATCCACTCCAATAATGTGGTTTCTGTTAACATCAACCTGTAGACTGCACCAAGGCTTACCTTGGTCAGAGTAAATACAAGTATCATATGTTCTTCCTTTATAGCGGAATGGGAAAATACAAATTTTCTTTTCCAAAGTGGTGCACTCCTTATACTGACAAACAGCTCTCATGGGTCTAATTTCTCTTTCTTCATAGCAGCTATCATTATTTAATTTTTCAAATGAAGCACTGAAACAGTTTCCTTTACCCTTAAGGCTTGGAAAAGTTGAGTCTGGTAAATCACCAAGAGAATAATGGGAAACAAAAAATGCCTTTTCATCACTCCAATATCTGCGCAGGCCTTGTTAAATATAATTAAATTAGCTTTCATTAGGGAAAATGATTGCCTTGAGACAATAGCCAGCACAATGGGACAGATGCCAAATAAATCATCCACTTTTAATGAGAGTAATTTGCGACTTACCAATCATAAAATCATTTTTGCTTATTGGTTTATTGAGGTCACGCCATTTTAAGAAGTCTTCTAATTCATTGGATGTGGATGGTGTATACAAACTCAACCCAAATTTGGCACAGAAGCTCAAACCTTTAAAATAATCAAGAGTATTAATTGCTTCACAACTCTAAAACTCTTGTACCTGAATGGTAGTCTTTAATTAAGTCATTTGCACCAACACCACTTCCAAGACAGGTTTGTCCTAATGATGGAACCCATTTAAATCCAGCTGGGCAGCTTGGAGAAGCATTGCAGTAATACTAAAATTGGATAATTAGAAGAGTTCACTGTTTATGTCAATTAATAAGTCATACCCCATGTTTTTCTCCACAATCAACAATTTTAGGTTTAAATTGATTCTCAGAGTCTGCAATCATACAGTTTCCAATGGCTTCTGTATTAACTATGTTTAAATCATCAAGATGTATAGGATCCCATGTAATCTTTGTCCATTTTCCATCTACTTTAATTACTCCTAACCAAAATGAACTTAATTCATTTTTCTCAGCGTATAATCTAAACATGATTTTATTAATTGAATCCAATTGAATGCTTTACTTAAAAGGGTATGTAGAGTTAATTTATGCTACCCTCAATTTTTAAAGTGACATGTTATATTCAGGGTGACAAAGTTTCATGAAACACAAATTAAGTAGTAAATACTACTTTGTTTTTATAATTTAAAGTAGCATTTTTCAAAAAAAATCAAAGCTAACCATTGCAAATGGCTATTTGTGTCTGAAAAACTGGTTATACAAGTAATTTTTTAATTTTTCAAAAATATGTTGAGATGCGTATCCAAAGATCTGTCTTGCAAAGCTTAATTCAACACAGCAAACGGTTTGTAAAAGTATTCAAAAACATCCTATCTAGAAGTATTAAAGGGGAAACAATTCAATCACAAAATCAGCTGTTTTTCTTAGCTTTTCAGCTCCAACATGGCTATTTTTAATTATTTTCAAAAATGGTATTTCCAAATCGACATATTTTTACTAGGGTTTTTTTATCACAAAAGGCCATTTGCGATGGTCAATTTTGGTATTAGCAAAAATGCCAGGAAGAATATAATCTAAAAAAATTGAGCCCCAGTTTGAGGTTGTCAGCAAAGATTGTCTTGTTCTCTTATCTGATTAGTGTTATTCTGCAGATTTTAGATTTTAGCAAACAAAGAGACCAATGAAGTATGATAAACTTTGAACAGGATTGTTTCTGATCGATAAAAAATGACTACCATATCATCAGTTAATTGGAGCCACTAATTGTGGTCTGTCGCTATTCTATTATGGCAAGTAATCATCCCCCTAATATGGAATATTTCCAATATTAGATTCAGTATGTTGATAAGATTAATTAGTTTTGATCTAAAAGTCTGCCTATTTGATCTTGTTGCAGATTTCTACTGACCAAAATGCTCTAAGAGGAACAAGATTACAGGATCATTGAAGGATATTATTTTTTTATGATAGTGACAGAACAGCTATTATTTGCTGTTCAAAACTATTTGAAATTGATTACTCTAAAATTTGAAAAAAAAAATGTTCATCTGATCAACTGCACTAAATTATCTAGTCTCAGTGTGAATGAAAAAAATGTTTTTAAAGACAGTTTTTGCTTAATTGAAAATATTTGGATTTTTGAACATTTTTGTGTTTTTCACTTTTTTTCATTATAGTCAATGTCACTCTGTCAAAGAGAGGTCCCTAAAATTACCCCTACAACTTACAGTCCTAAAATAAAGAACTTTCCTTAATATCTCTGATTGAATGGCTCCTTGAGGAGGATTAATAAATCCAGATGTGTCTTCTGAACAGGATTGTTGAGCTTCAGAGAAAGATTTAGGAATATGTTTAAGCCTGAGACACTGTAGCCCAAGCTTGATGTTTCCTTCTTCCCCTGGACAAATCAATTCATCTTTCCTGCCACTGACCATATCTTTTTTCCTAGTAACAATCAGATTCTGGTCATAATACATAAAACATTAAAATTTAATTTAAAATTGATTATTATTAATTATTAAAAAAACTAATTTTTGAAGAAAAATTGTACAAAGTTAGACATCTATTTATGCAATTAGAACTGGTTACAAGGTATTCTATTGCCTTTTTACCATTAAAGATTAGATTGTAATTTAAAGCAGGTCCAGAAAAATGTCAGGGCTTTGTTTTTTAAATGTTTTTTTTATGTTTTAGAAAATTAATATTAACAATGATCATTTTTTATTGTGAATATTATGTTAAACTTGAAATAAAAACCATTTCCACTCAAGCATATTACAGAGAGAATGAAAATTTGGGGCTCGATGACAATTCCACACAATTTCCAATTCCATATAATCCACCTAAAACAATAAAATTTGTAGAAATTACTAGACTAGTTGCGCCCCCCCCCCCACACCCCACCACATTCTTTTCAGATTTTTTATATTAAGATACCTCTTTAGATGGAACTGTTTCATACACTTGTATAATTTTTCCCTCATCATTTAATACTTTTGAACACATGTTTCCTAATATCAGGGAATATGAAAAATTTAAGTTTTAAAACAATGGACATTTCACCTGTGATATCACACCCTAGTGTATTGGGAGTGGTTGGTGGTAAAAGTGCAGATTGATTTCGCAAGGCTTTTTCAAATTTTCCAGGACTAATAGGTCCATTCAATTTTACATGTGTTATACTTTTGTCAAATTCTATGTCAATCAGTTGAAGTTTGTTATTGACATACACCTTAAACAATATCTGTTTAGATTTATTTAGGTCTTTACATGATAAGATTTTCAAATTTTCTTACTAATCCCTTTTAATCTCATTCTTTTAATATATTTTAGAATAATATACATATGTTCCTGAAGTTTAAAGATTTGGTGTATGCCAAATTGTTTATATACATAATTTAAAGAGAAGTGATACCTGCAAATTAGATCCTTCATTTTCACAATATATATATATGTCTTTGCCAATGTTATCACTTGTGTCTTCTTTAACCTTTGAAGTGGCTCCAATCAGTGTATTTGAAGCCATGATGGAGTTGACAGTTCTACCAGGCTCTACTCCATGAGAAAATGCAATGCTACCAACTTTAATTTGTTCATTAAACAGTTCAACTCCACATGATGGTCCTAAATTAAGATAAAGTTCTTACAGCCATGTTACTCAAATGTAGAGGTCAAAACTATGTGGGAAAAATGTTCATGATTCCCCAATTCCCAGCAAACTCATTTCATGTAAAATTAATATAATAATGTTTATTAATACTAACGTTGAAAAATACTATAGTTCTTAAATGTGATAAAAAAATTTTTTTAATATGTTCTTTTTAGCATGATTAAATGCTCTAAAAGCCCACTTCCCAGCTAGCCAAATTGCACAAAAAGATCGCAATTAAAGCGTCACTTTTTGCATTTTTACGTAAATTTTGCATAGAGGTTTTGGCTCTTTTTACGTCATGAAAGACGTAAAATGGCACACTTAGCTACGCAAATTTATTGGTTTTAGTAGACGTAAAATTTACGCAATAATATTATACAAATTTACGACAAAACTGCACATTTTAATTTTCTCAATTACCAAAAATTATGCAATATTTTATGCATGCAGATAGGCCATCCCTGAGTAGGCATGGTACTCTAATGTTTCTGTAGTTACACACAGTGGTTTGTTAATAGGAATGTTCATAACTTTAAATCTGGATAAATTACACAAGGGAAAGAATTGAGTCTGAGCCACAAACTCAAATGTTCTGATCCCTACATCTTTGAAACCTAATGGTGTCAATCAATCTTAGATTATTAGATCTAACAGAATTGATAGTTTGAAAATTCTAAGGTCTACAAAGTGAGTAGCAAAAGACAGAAGGGTTTCAAGAATCAGAGTTTGTAGAAAAGAATCAATTCCTATGATTTGAGAGTTAACAATTATTTGTTTAAATATCTATTGACATCGTTATTTTCCTTTCTCAGTCCAAGTTTTTTTTTCAAGTATGCCGATAATCGATATTACTTAAAGTTTATCAACCCCAAAGCACTAATGCAAGGAAAGTTATTTCAGACCAGTGTACGCATTTTTTGTACCTCAGTGTACTGTCTTTGGGCGAAAAAAAAACACAAGACAAATGTCACAGTCTGACATGGAATCCATTTTCACAAAAATAATATATGAAATATTCTGGTCATAGGAAACTATATGGTACTCTCTCTGAACTGTTTCCATTCATCCGGGAATACGGTTCAATTTAGCAACAAGCTTAATATGTATATGAGATTTATAAAAGTTATATAAAACTTTTTGATAGAAAATTCAGTGCATTTTCCTAATAAAAATGTTTTATTTAAAAAAAATTAAAAATAATTTAAAACCCAAATCTAAATGATATACTTTTAGTAAAAAATTTAATCTGAACCTTTTTACTTTTTTTAAAATTTACGTAAATGTAACAGAGACACCTAGCGGTGAAATTTGGTACTAAAAACCAGTGTGCTATATAGCACTGTAAATTCTCTGCCCAATTAACCCCCCCCCCTTCCCACTCTTATCTTCAATCACACGGCTTTCTATATAATATAACATTGCTGCACTCTGCACAATGCACACACACCTGGGCCACTGAATTCTTCAATATTTAAACACTCAAAACATATGTGTAAAAAGAGTGCAATTTTTACGCAATTTTAATGCTAACAAAGGCAACTTAAATTCTTTTTAAAAGTTTATTTTTTCAATTTTTTTTGAAAATGCAGTATATGCCATATCGGAAATTTTAGATATATCACAAATAATTTAGATTTAGAGTTTTAGGGAATTACACAAATTGTATACCTGAAATAAAATGATACACATCTCCACAAATTCATTATATTTTTACTTTTTAGCTGGGTTATAAAATATTTTCTTTAGAAAAATTAGATATTTACACTAATCTAGTTTTACGCAAATTTGCGTTTTAATTGCGTAATTGGAGCCAAAATAATATTCGTTTACGTTGCTTACGCAATTTGGATAGCTGGGTTGTAAACCGCTGAATTTAGTTCAATTGGATATTAGTCCAATCAATATAGCATTGTATCTGTAATTAAAATCAAAAGTAACTTTTATACATTAGGGGTATCCAAAAAGAAAGGATTAAGAAGAAAATCAAAAGAGTGTCAATTGGACACTGAGATTAAGTAATCAGGATTTTAAAGTGTTCAGCTCAGGATTCACAAAACAGAAGCCATAACATATTTAACATCTCCCAACAATGATTTACTTAAATGACAATGCATGGGTTAAGTTATTTTTTATTTGTTTTTTTTGCATTCTGCAGTCATTATGATTTTCAAAATGCTCCAGTGGTGTCTAAGATGATATATAAAATTATGCTTCAATTGAAAGTCTTCATTTTCTTAAAACATCAATTTTTATTAATTATATTTAATATATGTGTTTCATCCATTAAAGCTCACCTTGGGTGCACTTTTGTTCACAAAAGCCCCAATTATCGCCCAAAGCATGTAAACCTAAAACAAGTATCAAAATCTTATAATTGTGATTTCCCTCTATATCATATACATACCATTACTATCAACCTTTGTTGAACACCAGTATCCATTGCTGTCTGATACACATGTATTGTAAGTGACATTCTAAAATCATATAAAAAAGAAGTTATTTGTAATCGAGACAATTTTAAGTCTTAAGCTTTGCTTTAAGAGTTGCAACTAACTCTTAACAGAGTTGGGCTTATTGAACTTGTTTAATTTTGTGTCAAAGGATTTTCATGGTTGGAATTGGCAGATTTGAGGAATTTGATAACACAACCCCACTAAAACCAACCATGGTCAAATTTATTTTTATTGGGCAAAACTTCTTAAGTTAAGCCTAAGAGCAGCCGACTGTTATCACATGACACAAGCTGTTGTTGATTCATAAGTTGGGTCTAAGATTGAGCCTTAAACCTGGGTTTGAGGAATAAAGACTCGATCTGAAGCTTTCAAATCACAGGTTCAGATTCATTAGTATCTATTTGTTGTATGCAACTTGGATACCAATAATTGTCTATTGAATTTAGTCTTACCTTATAAATAAAAGGAAAAATGCAATAGTCTCCTACAGTTGTCTTGCAAACTATTAAAATTATATTTATTATTATAATGTTCTGTATTTATAGTGTTTGAATGTGTGATTTAATGATGACTAACCTTGAGCGCATGTTTGATTACAATACCCCCATGTCTTCATAGCATCATCATACTTACCTAAAAATTGCATTGTCACACTGAAGTTAGCTCATTCCTAGTTTAGGGGGAAGCAAAATAATTTTTTCTTTAAATCAACATTAAAATACACTCTTAGAGTTTAAAATGTAATTTCTACAATTCAAGATTTTTAATGTCGTTATTTTGTCTTTATTTTGATATAATTTAGTCATTATTTAGTTATACTACCAACCTGTATCATCAATTGTTGTAGCACACCAGGGTCTACCATTGAATAATGGACAGGTATTGAAAGAATTACCCTTAAATTAGATAAAATGGTTTAAGTAACTATTTTTAAATCTTAATATACCAATTTTGCTAGTGAGGTTCAAAAAAAATTTAAACTAGCATGATTTAAACTGGTGTAAGAATGTTGGTGTACCCAGTTTTATCCCATAACGACCAGCTCCACTGTCGACAGAATTACATGAAATTTCATGAACAGCTTCCTAAAGGGTCTTTAATAAATTCATGTTTCCAAACTTTTTTGCTAAAAGGTATAGCAAAAAGCTTTTATTTTTGCGTCTATATTGATGCATTCGGATTAACCTATCATGGCATGAGTATATATGGACGCATTGGAATTTACCTATTATGGCACATTTCACAGTGTTTAGCCTAGAGTGTACAAATTGTTCAGTGTACAATGTATAGAGTCTAGTGTTTGGTGTACAGTTTGAAATAATGCAGTGTAAAGAGTTAAGTGTACAGTTTGCAATATACAGCAAGTGAAGTGTGCAGTATGCCAATTGCAGTGTTCCATGTACAGATTGCAGTGTTTAGTGTGCGTGCAGTGTGCATTTTGAAGTGTGCAGTGGTCAATGTTCAGTGGGCAGTGTGCAGTGATCAGTATGTATTTACTTCAGAGTGGGCAGTTAGTAGTAAGCAGTGTATGTTATACATTTGACGTACTCAGTTCATGTAGTTTGAAGTTTGCAGTGCGGCAGTGAGCAGTTTGCAATGTGCAGTGTACAGTGTGCAGTGTAAGTGTACAGTGTGCAGTGTAAGTGTAAAGTGTGCGGCATACAGTGTACAGTGTGCACTGTATATTGTGTAATGTCAAGTGTGCAACATTCATTGTGCAGTTTGCAATGTTCAGTGTGCAGTGTGCAGTGTGCGGTGTGCATTGTGCAGTATACAGTGTACAGTTTACAGTGTGAAATTTGCAGCATACAGTGTGCACTGCATTGTGCAGTGTCAAGTGTACAGAATTCAGTGTTCAGTCTGCAGTGTGCAGTGTACAGTGAACAGTTTAAAGTGTGTGGCATTCAGTGTACAGTGTAAAGTATGCAGTATACAGTGCACACTGTGAAGTATGCAGTATACAGTGCACACTGTGAAGTGTGCAGTATACAGTGTATAATGTAAATTTTACAGTGTACAGTGTGAAGAGTGCTGTGTCAAGTTTGCAGTGTCAAGTGTGTAGCATACTAAGCATACAGTAATAAGCAGTGTGCAGTGTGCTGTATGTAGCATACAGTATGCAGTTTTCAAGCGTACAGTGACAGATTACAGTGAGCAGTGTTAACTGTGCAGTTTGCAGTGTGCAGTTTGCAGTGTGCTGTTTGCAGTGTGCAGTTTGCAGTCTACAGTTTGCAGTGTACAGTTTGTAGTTTGCGGTTTGCAGTGTGCAGATTGCAGTGTGCTGTTTGCAGTGTGCAGTTTGCAGTGTGCAGATTGCAGTGTGCTGTTTGCAGTGTGCAGTTTGCAGTGTGCAGTTTGCAGTGTGCTGTATGTAGCATACAGTCTGTAGTGTTCAGCATACAGTATGCAGTTTTCAAGCGTACAGTGACAGATTACAGTGAGCAGTGTTAACTGTGCAGTTTGCAGTTTGCAGTGTTCAGTTTGTGGTGTGCAGTTTGCAGTGTGCAGTTTGCATTGTGCAGTTTTCAGTGTGCAGTTTGCAGTGTGGAGTTTGCAGTGTACAGTTTGCAGTGTGCAGTTTGCAGTGTGCTGATTGCAGTGTACAGTTTGCAGTGTGCTGTTTGCAGTGTGCAGTTTGCAGTGTACAGTTTGCAGTGTGCAGTTTGCAGTGTGCAGTTTGCAGTGT